AAAAAAAAAAATTATAAATCGGGTTCTGCTTTAGGTGAAAACAGATGACATTAAGCTCAAGCAACTTCTTATAACTCATAATCCTAGATATAGTGGAGCAAAGACAGAAACAGGAACCATCAATAGCTCTGCCATTGACTATCCCTGCAACCTTGAATAAATCAAGTATGACCAAAGCCATAAATTTCTAGGATCAGAAACTTTGTACTATGGCTGAGTCCCATCAGTTTTCCCTGACACCCAGTATTAGATAATCATTTACAGCCACAGCTGCCATGCACTTGTATGCAAAACCCTCACATTATGATAATGTTGGAATTGGCTTTATATGAAAGCTACAATTACAGCCTATCATTTCCTCCTTTCTATATAAATCTACAAAGATCTACAAAGCCATAAACCAAAACTGGTCATTCGACCTTGCCTAACAGGGGTTCTTTTCTCATGCTTTTAAACGAAGGAGCAGAACTTGAAATTCTGGGAGTCCTTATCAGTAAGTAAGGATCAGGAATGTTCCATTGATGGTACTATAAACCTCTAGCATAACAATAAGGTGACAAATAATTTTCTAAAATCAGGCCCAAAGAGCAGGAAAGGAGCACTTAGCTCAGGATGAGTAGAAGAACCAAAAATAGGCTGAGTTGTGATTTAGGTCAGAAATAGGGTCAAAGTTGTCTCTTTCAGAGATGAGGATTAGATATAACAAGTAATTGGCTGGGCATGGTGGCTCATACAGTAATCCCAGCACTTTGGGAGGCCAAGGCGGGTAGATCACTTGAGGTCAGGAGTTGGAGACCAGCCGGGCCAAAATGGTGAAATCCCATCTCTACTAAAAATATAAAAGTTAGCCAGGCATGGTGGTAGACACCTGTAATCCCAGCTACTTGGGAGGCAGGATAATCACTTGAACCCTGGAGCTCCAGCCTGGGCAATAGAACAAGACTCCATCTCCCCCAACCCCTCCTCCCAAAAAAAACTGCTGCCAGCTTTTAGCACTGTCCGGTGGAAACTTCTTTGGCTACGGAAATGTTCTATGTCTGTGCTGCCCAGTGTAGCAAACATCAGCCACATGTGGCTGTTGAGCACTTGCAATGTAGCTAGCATGACTGAGGAAAGGAATTTTAAATTGTGTTTAATTTTAATCCAAATGTAAACTGCCAAATATAGCTAGTAACTACCAAACTGAACACTGTAGTTCTAGATTCCCTAAGTCAGGGACTTTCAAACAGAGGCAATTCCCCCCACCCTTCGGGGGACAACTGCCTCCATCTGGAGACATTTCTTATTGTCACAACTCGGGGTAAGTGGTGCGACTATCATCTACTGAGTGGAGGTCAGGGACACTGCAAAGCATGCTGCCATACACAGGTCGGCCCTCACAACAGAGAATTATCTCACCCAAAATATCAGTAGTGCTGATGCTGAGAAACTGCTCCAAGTTTGCACAAGGATGGAATTAAAGTAAATGCAAAGCAAACGCAGTCCACCTTTTCTAAACATAATACTCAGGAAAAATGAGATTTTTTAACCAACAGAAAAATGTCTGGGTTATTCTACATGTTTCAAGTAGCAGGTTTTGGCCTGGCATGGTGGCTCACGCTTGTAATCCCAGCACTTTTGGAGCTAATGCAAGAGGATGGCTTGAATCCAGGAGTTTGAGACCAGCCTGGGCAATACAGTGAGACCTTGTCTCTACAAAAAAAAAAAAAAAAAAAAAAAATTTAATTAGCTGGGTGTGGGGGTGAGTGCCTGTAGTCCCAGCACTCAGGAGGCTCAGACTCTAGAATCATCTGAGCCCTGCAGATGGAGGTTGCAGTGAGCAGAGATAGCACCACTGCTCTCCAGCCTGGATGACAGATTGAGATCCTGTCTCAAAAATAGTAATTTAACAGGTTTTTACTGAGAGGTGTGTTTAATAACTTATTAAGATCTTCAGCATTATAGTGATTACTTCCTGTGGCATTTTCCTTCCTCGAATATTAACATAAGTAAACCCTGTAAGACTCTGCTACAAGGCCTTGTTCCTTATGCCTTCGACATACAGTGTGGGGCTCCAGCAAAGCCCCTACTCCTCTCCCAGTTTCAATTCCCTGCCTCCTCAATTAACCTATCTGATTTATTGGGACATCAGTAATCTCAGATGTAAGAAACTGATACTGTTGTGAAAGAAAAGCAAATCATGACAAGAAAATGGCTCTGTGATCACAGGTCTGCACATTTACCCGTCACCTACAGAAAAAGCAAGGGACAGAATTACATTTGGACCAAAGGAAAGGTACTAAGAGATTCTATTAAATGATGATGGCATACTTCATTTTGTTTAATTTTTGTGTTTTTTTCACATAACTGCATTTTAAAGTGAGAGATACTGTTATTTGAAATTTTAGGGAGTATCAAATTTTAACAATGTGGTTTCTGTAATCAGTATAAATTATTCAAGGATCAGTTTAAATGGGATCATTCTGAACTGCTCAAATAGCTCCCGAATTGATATTAACAATGTAGAATTTAACACAGCATAGTCTATTCCTCAAAGAAACAGGAATAATGAACACAACTAAATGTTTCACTTTGATTCAAACTATTTTTCAGCACACAAAGTCATCAACACTCATAGCAAATGCTTTTTCCTTCCTGCCCACTTAGCACCAACAGAAATTGTTCATTTCATCTAAGGCCCTCTATTACTTCACGGAATATAAACGTTTAAGTGCCAGTCATAGTTCTGAAAAACTTACATTCAGAATTTTCACACTGACCTAAGGCAGAAACTTCCAGCCCACATGTTCTGAATTCCTAAAAGATCATTGCAATTTTTGTGAAGGCGCCAGTATTAGACACACTGGAATTTCAGTCCCTCTTGAGATCTTCACTGACAGAGTTTAAGATCTTTTATCATCAATTAATTCTTACAGCAACCACTTTAATCTACTGATCAAATGCCAGAAAAGTCTTTTTTTTTTTTTTTTTTTTAAGACGGAGTTTTGCTCTAGTTACCCAGGCTGGAGTGCAATGGCGCGATCTCGGCTGACCGCAACCTCCGCCTCCTGGGTTCAAGCAATTCTCCTGCCTCAGACTCCCGAGTAGCTGAGACTACAGGCCTGAGCCACCATGCCCAGCTAATTTTTTTATTTTTATTAGAGACAGGGTTTCATCATGTTGGCCAGGATGGTCTCGATCTCTTGACCTCATGATCCACCCGCCTCGGCCACCCAAAGTGCTGGGATTACAGGCTTGAGCCACGGCGCCCGGCCTGAAAAGCCATATTTAAAGCAGGATTCTGACCCAGTCTGCAGATTTTCCTATAAAAGCTAACTATTCCTGGAGGAAAGATCACCTTAAATGCGTTAGGATTCCAATCACAACCACATGAAGCCCATCCATCTTCGTATGAAATTGAAAACACTTTGCATTATTTTGTATTCAACTGCTGATGTTGTAAACATGATCTACACCAGGATTTCTCAGCCTCAACACTGCTGACGTTTTGGGACAGAGAATTCTCCAGCATGGGGAGGTGTCCTGTGCAATGTAAGGTGTTTAGAGGCTTCCCTGGCCTCTACCTACTAGGTTACCAGCAGCACCTTCCTGCCCCCATTGTGACAATCAAAAATATGTCCAACGATAGCCAAATGTCCCCTGGGGAAATAAACTGCCCCCTGCTTTAAGAACCACTCATCTGGACAAGACTTTATTTCCAGCCAGGAAAACACAAAACATTCACCCCAGAAATGGCACAAGAAATCCCTATTTTTCTTGTCTTCCACCCCAGTTTACGCTAAGCAACGGAGTAGTAGGCTATACCAATGAGAACATGAAGACATCTGGCCCAACTTTTACAATTATTGCCTTCAACTCTCTAGGGACAAGTGAACAAATCTACAGCAGCTGTTGCCTTAAAAAAAGACAAAATGTATTAGTCCTACCAGCTCAAAATTTAAATGTCGCAATCTTAAAACACTAGCATTGCTCCTGAATGTCACATGCATGAAAAACCGAGTTTGCATTGGACTGGACAAGCAGACTCCCAGGTGGAAGAGAAAGAAGGGCTTTGAGGGAGGGCAGAACGTCGGGTACTGAAAGCAACAATCCGTGAAGAAACCCACGCACCAATTCCCATTTACAAGCCCTACAGCCGGGACAAGCAGAAGCCGTTTCTCATGGTAGAGCAGTCACACAGGTATATCACACTGCTGTTTCTCCACGGAGAAACCAGAGGAAGGCGCTGTTACCAGTGGATTTCAGGTTAACATGGGGATCCCTCCTCGCCACTGGAAAAAGGGGAGCCAAGAAGTTGTGGAGCAGCTGCGATCCCCGAAACTCCATTTGCAATCTACGCAATACCCACCCCTTTCCGGACCTCAGAGGTTCTCGCCAGGTGTTCGCACGCTCAGCATCGGAATCACCTGCGTGGGGCAGAGCGGTGGGGGCAGTAGCGGTTAAACACGCAGATCCCGGTCCCCACCCCAGAGGTTCTGACCCCGGGACTGAACATCTGCATTTTACAAAAGGCCCCAAGTGATTCTCACGCAGGCTGAAGTTGGAAAAGCACTAATTTAGCAATTTTCATTCCTAACTCGGAGACCATGTAAAACCTACAGGTTTGCAGTTGGCTCCGAAAAAACTGCGGCTTCTTTCCGGGAGCACCTGGGGCCGCGCCACGTCCTCCGAAAGGGCCAGCCGCGCTCAGGCCGGCCCCTCGCGGAACCTTGGCAGGGCCCAAGGTCGGCCCCACGATCCCAGTCCTGGGCTCCCGGCCCCTCGCGGCCCCCAGGGAACCGGGCCAGGCTTTTCGGCCCACGGGGACTCGACAAACACCTGGCCCCGCGACGCGCCCGAGACCCAGTCGCCCTCCCAGCCAGGCCTCCTCAGGCGGGGCCCGTTAGCCCGCGTCCCCCTGCCCAGGTCACAATGGCAGCTCGAGACTGGGAAACAGTCGCCTCAGAGGCGGGGGCCCGGGGGCCGCAGTGCCGTCCCCATCGCCACCTCTCGGTACCGACCTTCTCCAGGGTCGCGTCCATGGCTAAGGCGGCCGGTGGTGGCCCGGCGGTCCGGGGCGTTACTTCCTCCTCCCGCGCCCCGCCGCTGTTTCCACGTTGGCAGCGCCGACGTCCCCCGCGCCCGCGGCCGGCGGGGCTGAAACGAGGAGGAGGAGCCCGGCGGCGCCGCGGGCTGGGCAACCTGAGGGTAGAGAGACGGAGGGGCGGGGCCCCGTGGCGGTGGGCGGAACCCTCTGGGCTTCCGTACCTGGCCGTCACGCCGGCCCTCCCTAACGTGCGCAGGTGAAGGGGTTGGATACACGGTAAATTGTTCACCAAACTCACACTTTTCAGCAGCCTGTCGCAATCATCAAGGTATAAGTATAATAATCGCAAATTACTATTCATGAAGGGAAAGGCTGGAAAAACTAGTGACGCACCTGCACTTCCAGACCCAGGCTTCCAAGTCTCCCGCCTCCCCCCATGTCAGCAACCCTCGGGAATGGAACAGGCTATTCGCTAAGTCGGGGGCGAGCTAATCAGCACCCTTGCGCATGCGCAGGACCCACAACATTCTTGGTGCCCAGGGTCTTGGGGGTTTGGGGTTTGGGGGCTCCTCGGTGACCGCTGTTCAGAGAAAGTGCTGATCTGAGCTGAAGCGTTTGTCTCAGACCTTGCCGCCGAATTCTAGACGCAAAAGATTGTTGAGACAACTGGTCCAGCCTCCTCTTTATATCACAATTATGACTTGTCAGGTAATGGGTAATAATAATGGTGATAATATTAATACATCAGCTGCTGCTCTTCCATTTTCCTATTTCAACAGCGCTACGAGATCATTATTATCCCCATTTCACGGTGCCGATCTACATAGGATTCAGACCCAAGCCCCATGATTCCACATACTGCTCCCACTCCTACTTTACTTTAAATTTTTTTAAAAGTTAATTTTTAATTTTTTTATCTTGTTACTGATGAGCAGAAAGGAAAAAAAATAACAATTTCATTTTAATAGAGAAGGGGTGTGTGTCTCACTATGTTGCCCAGGCTGGCTTCAAACTCCTGGCCTCAGGCGATCCTCCGGTCTCAGCCTCCCAAAGTGCTGGGATTACAGGGGTGAGCTAGCCCGCCTGGCCACTCCTGCTATTTTACTGCATTGTGTTTCTAATGAATGGGGAGGGCATACATTCGCTTAGTAGATTCCTCAAACCTTAATGAAGGAAACAAGTAAGACTACCATGGTTACAATCAATGGAACACTTCACCTCTACAGTGACGCTACAACCACAAATCTGACTCCTTTTCTCTCCTGTTTTATACTCTTCCTCCCGAAATCTGTGTAACAGGGTCACATTTTCAGCGCAGTAACTCCATGTTTTGAGTTATCTATCTAAATTGTAGTCAGTCAATTGCCTGGTTGTGTTAATAAAATTATTTCCTATCAAAGCCTTGTGTGGTGATTTAAAGTGTACTGTGGGAATTATTCTGACTCTCTAAAGCGCTCTGCAAACAGAAGGAATGATAGATTTATATCTAAAACTGAAGATTGAATGTGCCACTGCTTGAGTAAAACCAGTCACTTTTCCAACGTGTTACAAAGTTTTTCAAACACGTAGAAAAGTTGGAACAATTGTACAGTGAACAACTGTGTACCCACTGCCTATATTCTATAATTAATTTTCCCTACATTTGCTCTATCATATATGCATCCATATATCCATCCATTGATACAGTAGTAAATTGTAAAGTGACCTCCAAGTTTCTCTGGATTGCATTACAAAGTATAATAGATTCCACAAAACAAATACTAGAGAGAGAAAAGTTAACTTTACTGTTTGAAAAGTAGACTTTGAAAACCCAACATGAAAAAGTGGAAATAACTGGATTATTTATTGTATTTATCTAAACATTTATTGACTACCATCTTGGACAGCTGTGCTGGCAATAGTATGTAAAAGAATAAGAGGCCACCTTCAGCTTTGTTCCATCCACCCAAACGAGTCTCAGTGAAACCATCTCGGTCCATCCTTCACAGTCCATCACACCTGCTCTCAGCAGCCCTAGAACCAGATGATCACTTTCCTTTTGAAACTGACTTTCCATGCTTCCCACAATATCAAATCCTTCAGATTGTCACCTTCCCTTTCCGCCTGTTCAATGTCTTTTGCAGTTTCTTCGTCCTCCACCCAATGTTTAATTGTTGGATTTCCTCAGCACTCAGCTAGCAAGACTTTTTTTATTTTTTTGAGACAGACTCTTGTTCTGTTGCCCAGGCTGGAATGCAATGGCATGATCTCCTTGCCTCCCTGCAACCTGTGCCTCCTAGGTTCAGGGGATTCCCCTGCCTCAGACTCCTGAGTAGCTGGGATTACAGGCACACGCCACCCTACCTAGCTAATTTTTGTATTTTTAGAAGAGATGGGGTTTGACCAAATTGGCCAGGTTGGTCTTGAACTCCTGACCTTAGGTGATCCACCTGCCTCGGCCTCCCAAAGTGCTGGGATTACAGGCGTGAGCCACCATGCCCGGCCTGGAAAGCCCTTTTGATTTCTTCTACACACTTTGATCCTCCATTATTTCAGTTAACACCTATATCAAACTGAGAGTACTTCATCAATGGGCTGTGAAATCAACCATTGGGTCATGAGCAGCAATTAAAAGAAAAAATGGAAATAGAATGCAAAACATCAGAGCACATCACATGGATTAAGGATAATTAGGCAGTAACTGAAATGTCCATCAACAGACAGATAAACTGTGGCCTATCCCTATGATGGAATGGAATATGATAGTGCAATAAAAAAGATTCAATTACTGATCCAGGGGACACCACAGATTAGGAATTGGCAGACTTTTCCTGTGAAGGGCCCGGTTGTAAATATTTCAGACTTTGCAAGCCATAGCTTAGGTTCTTGCAATCTCGGTCCCAACTATTTGATTCTGTAGCATGAAAATAGCCATAAACAGTATGTAAACAAATGAGAGTTGCTGTGTTCCAATAAAGCTTTAATTACAGACACTGGATTCTGGGTTACATTTAATTTACCTGTGTCACATAGTACTCTTCTTTGACTTTTTTTCAATCACTTAAAAATATAAAGTTATGCTGAGTTCTTGGGCCTTTGCATAATCAGGTACTGGGCCACATTTGGCCCACAGGCCCTAGTTTGCTGATCCCTGTCATAGATGAATCTTAAAAACATTATGCTGAGTGAAAAAAGCCAGATACATGGCCCAGATCCTGTAATCTTAACACTTTGGGAGGCCGAGATGGGAGGTTCACTTGAGCCTGGAAATTTGAGGCCAGTCTAGGCAATGTAGAGAGACCCAGTCTCTACCAAAAGAAATTAGCTGGCAGTGGAGGACTGCTCAAGCCTGGGAGGTTGAGGCTGCAGTGAGCTGTGATTGCACTCCTGCACTCCAGCCTGGGTGACAGAGCAAGACCCTGTCTCCAAGGAAATTTTTTAAAAAGCTAGATACAAGTGAATACATATATTGTATGTAGACTGTAGATATGCTCTATAGTTTAATTTATATGGAATTCTAGAAAATGCAAACTATAATGACAGAAAGCCTGGGACTGGGGTGGAGGGGGAATTGACTGCCAAGGGGCGCTGGGGAATTTTTGAAGGTGACAGAAGAGCTCTGTATTTTAATCACGGTGGTGGTTACACAGGTATATGCATTGGTCAAAACCTGTTGAACTGTACATGTAATATGGATGAATTTTATTAAATTATATTATGTAAAATGTACTTCAACCAAGTTGATTTAAATATTAACAGAGCATTGGTTGGTTATTTACTACTGGGTAAAAGATTTTTTTTTTTTCCCCCGAGATGGAGTCTCCCTCTGTTGCTGAGGCTGGAGTGCAGTAGCGAGATATGGGCTTACTGCAGCCTCCACCTCCCAGGTTCAAACGATTCTTGCACCTCAGCCTCCCAGGTAGATGAGACTATGGGCATAAGCCACCATGCCCAACTAATTTTTCTATTTTTAGTAGAGACGGGGTTTCACCACGTTGCCCAGGCTGGTCTAGAGCTTCTGCTCTCAAATGATCCATCTGACTCAGCCTCCCACAGTGCTGGGATTACAGGTGTGAGCCACCATGCCCAGCCAAAAAATTCTTTATATATATATATATAAAAAAAAATTTATATTTTTATAAAATTTAAATATAAATTTTATAAAATTTATAAAAGGGGAGGGGAGGGGAGGGGAGGGAAGGGAAAAGGAAAGGAAAGGAAAGGAAAAAGGAAAGGAAAGAACAGGAAAGGAAAAGCAGATGTGGGTGTAAGGCGCACTAGCATGAGCAGGGTTGCAGTGGTGGAGGTGGATAAGGTAATCTGGGAAGCCTTCTCTGCGAATGTGACAGAAGTGAGGGATGAGTCCTGGGGACTCCTGGGGAGAGATTTCCCACAGTGGGAACAGCAGTTGTAAAGGCCCTGGGGACAGAGTGTGCTGCAGGGGATCAGGGAACATCACAGACTCTGGAGGCTGGAGTGAAGCCAGGAGATGATGAAGGAAGATGGGGATGACAGATACCAGAGCAAGGTGACAGTGACCTTGCCAGGGATCATCATGGCTTGGGCTTTGACTCTGAGGAAAATGGGAAGATGACCTGAGGTCAGGAGTTCGAGATGAGCCTGGCCAACATGGTGAAACACTGTCTCTACTAAAAATGTAAAAATTAGCCAAGTGTGGTGGCATGCGCCTATAATCCCAGCTACTCAGGAAGCTGAGGCAGGAGAATTTCTTGAATGTGGGAGGGGGAGGTTGCAGTGAGCCAAGATTGCACCACCCCAGCCTGTGCAACAGAGTGAGACTCCATCTCAAACACACACACACACACACACACACACACACACACACACACAAAAGTGGAGGACTGGATTTGGCCTGGGGGTCACAGTTTGCCAGCTCCTGCCCAAGCCATAGCTCCAGATGCATATATTCTGTGTCTTGGACATCTCTGTCCAGACCCTTTGGTGAGGCCCAGAGAGGGGAAGCAATTAGATCAACATCACCCAGCAAGGCAGGGCAGAGTAAGACAGGACTCTAGTCATCTCACTCTCAGTTGTCGAACAGACCCTCACAGCCAATCCCTACCACGACTCCTTGAGTCTCTCTTTGTGTCCATTTCTATTTATTGATTAGTGATTATTCACTTGAGCACCTAGTATGTGCTTGACCATGAGCTCAGCCCTTCTTCTTCCCCACTTCCCTGACCACTCCCTGCATTTCTCCATCATAGTGCCCATGATGAGTCAGAGACCCAAATGACCCCTAACTGCAATGCCTCCCTGACCCAAAAGACCCTGAGACTCTCACCTTCTCCCTAATTGAAGTGTGGACTCCCCCAGGAA